ACAAAAAAAAAAAAAAAAAAAAGAGCTCAGCTGTGATGTAATTTTGAGAAAATTTATTGTCCAGATCTCAAAACTCTAAATCAAAATTCAGGACTGCTTTGTGAAAACTAATCACACTTGTATATTCAATGCAGTGCATGCCTCCATTTTCTGAATCACTTTTCCTCAATATTAATATACTTTGAATCTTCTTACCACTCCTCCCAGCTGACATAAGGGAGGAAGGACAATTTCCTGTTTTGCTGTGTATGTAGAAATAGTCTCTATTAAGTTTTTATCCAGACACTAATTACATTGCCTGCTAATTCGCTGTCCAAGGTTGGATATGCTCCGCTTTAACGCGGTTCCAGTGTGTCCACTGTGAAGTGTACTCCTTCACCTAAGCACTTAATTAGGTATTTTACAATCAATAACATTGTGTTGGTTTAACAAGTAGCATGACTTCTCCATTTTTCCCTCTGATAATTACTCGTTGTAATCCCCTTTGTGAGTAAGATACTTGGAAGAAGTTTTGTTCAGTCACCGCCATAGAGGCGAATTGATGGAGGCTGAGATTCCTGAATTTGGAGCGAACTTGCAACATTGTTTGGCAGGCAGTAGTCAAAGCTCGTTGCTAAACTTGCTATCAATAACTAGCTTTTACAGCACCTTGCCTCGAACTAATGACTAACACACTGCAGGTGACATAAGCAGCCCAATGAACCTTTATGGGATGGTCACTGCCGTTGAGAAAAAGGAAAAACTTAAGTCTGTGATTCTCAGTTCTGTTATTCTTTGTTTTACTGAGGCTCAAAATGAAAACTGCTTTGTTTGTATAGTGAAAGGGTACCCAGCATGACTTAAGTGCCTTTTTAAAAAAATAGTTACTAACAATAAATTGTTTGTGGTTGTTAGCTTATTTGTTCCGAAAGCAGTAGCATTTGTTATTTGCATTCACCTACCTTGTTATTTGTTCAGCTTCATTGACTCTTAGATTTAATCTTGAACCTTACGTCTGTAATGTCGGGTATGATTCACTTCCTCATATTATTGTTCAGTCTGCCACTTGATGGAAGCCGTGTGGCAGAATGCGTCATGAAAACATTTGTTCGTCAAATCAAGCTTTTCTGACAATTTTTCACAACATGCACTCTGCCGCAGATAAGTGACGATAGGCACGTTAGTACAATATGACACGATAGACTCATTTCTATCTAAGTCATGACACATATTGTCATATCGCCCAGCCCTATTACTGTGTTTAATTTTCTCTTCAAACACTTAGTAATTTTCCCTGCAATTTTACTGTTCAAAGTTTGTGATGTTTGACGTCTGTGAAAAGTGTATTCAATGATCCAAGCACTTAATTTCGGTGTTTGACGATTACGTGTCAATCTTACGTTATCTTAGCAATTAGCAAGGCTTCTTTGTCTCCTGTTAATAACTATTAATCATCCCTTGGTGAGAATGACGCTTGTAAAAACTGCAACTTTTTCGCCCCCACGAAGGCAATGATTACTGATTTGGGAGCAACTCTGTAACATGTTTATCCGCGCTAGTACTGGTAGTCAGCTCAAGCTCCTTACTGATATAGTGTAGGTAACACTGAGTGAGCCTCGATCTCCAACTTCCCATGATGTAAGCACGTTACGGCATGTTCACGTGTATGTGTCCAGCCCAGCAAATCTCTTTGAGACAGTCTCTGTAGTTCAAGTACTGTGTCAGAATAACTTTCACGTTTTTGTTTCTCAGTATTGGTATTCAATGTTTTATCTAAAATACTGCAATGACAAAATACTCATTTCGAGCCTTGCTATGATACATTATAGAGCAGGGGTCACCAATGCGTTGACTGTGGGTGGCCTCAAGGACCACATGAGGTCACCAGTGATGAGATATTGTGATTTTTTTATTAATTTTTTTTTTTTTATGACTGTTGTTGAAGTTATCATTTGAAAACACAAACACCGGCAGAGTGCCAAAGTGTTGCATATTGTTATTTATTTGCTTCTGTGTGTGACTGTGAGAAATCATGAGCATGACGTCTTCACACATATGACTATCATGAATTCTGAATAATGACATACAATAATACCATTATTAAAAGTAGCTTGAGCAAATTTGTTATTTCGGAAGTGTGTATCAACCAGGTCGCCCTTTGAATTAATCGGTACCGAAGAAGTACAGTGATCCCTCGCTATTTCGCGGTTCGATTATCGCAGCCTCGGTGCATCGCGGGTTTTTTTTTCCAAAGTACTGTATTCAGAAAAAAATGCACAATGACTCAGAGGTTTTATACATGGCTGTAGCTTGATTGGTTCCCAGCATGACATCGACCAATGACAGCACGAGCGGATCTATCCCATAATGCACAGCCATGTTGATTGGCTACTAAACCCTACTTCGCGGATTTTCGTCTTTCGCGGGTGGTCCCGGTCCCCATTAACCGCGATCAGTGAGGGATTACTGTAGTTCTCAGTGTCAAAAAGGTTGGTGACCCCTGATCTACGGACAGCAACAAAAATTCCTGGCATCTAATGATGCCATGAAGGACATTTTTTCTGTAAAATCTACTCTAAGGCGTAGAAAAAAAAGTAGTGTGTTTCCGGTAACCCGACCGACCGAGAATTTCTACATCAAAAAAAAACTACGGTGGGCATTTTTTTCAAACAACCCTCTACATTTTTGTGTAGAGGGTTTACATTGGTGCAAACTCTCGCGATATTCACGTTGAGCGTGTGCATCGTTTGCTCTGTCGTCTGTCAACAACATTGAAACATGGCGGAGGCCGCGATCTCCGACGACAGTTTAAACCACGTTTTCTGTGTTACATTCGCATGCTTGCACCGTAATGTTAAGAAAATAGCATCCATTGATGTATCGAAAAAAATTCAGCGAACTATTTGATGAACACCACGGGCCGAGTAAAAACCGAGGGCGGAGGAGGACGGCGGCGGAGGCGGAGGCGAGCCCCGGCCCCCCGAGTCCGGAACGGGGAGAAAACTAAATAGACGGCGCCGGCCGCGCAGCGGCGGGTTCAATGTCTTGTTTTATGTTTTATGGTTATTTTGTTTAAATTTTTGATGGAAAAAAAAATTGTTAAAAAAAAAACTTTGTCCGACCTACCGACCCTATGCTGAAATTTCATGTTACCGGAAACACACCATCTTCTTTTTGTTTGGCCTAAGTATGGATTCAATGAAAATATTTCTTATATTAAAAGAATAAAGAAACAAACCCAAGATGGGTGGCTCTCAGAAAATGTGGTCCAGGAGTGTAACATGAGAGCCCACAAATAAACTTGTTCAAAACCAGATCAAAATGAGATACGCTTTAAATCAAACTTTCCTGCGGTATATTCAGAATAAATAAAGACATTTCACTCAGCTTTTTTTCGCAAGAAATTGTTGGATGTCATGGTCTACTCCATTGTATCATACCATACCTGGACACCAAGCACTGAGTACTCCCTCCCACCCAAAAAATAGTTAAATAATTATATTATTTTTACACTTGAAAAGTCGTTCGGGTGGAAGTATACAGTACATTACAGTAGTAGATAGTCGGTGGCACCTCGTGGAAACAGGCAATGAACCTAAACTACTTTTTTTCTGGTGACATATCACATTATGGACAGCGTGGACTTGATTCAACGATATTGTGTTGCATTGACATTTGGTCAGTTATTGATTCTGTTTTTGAAACTAATACATTTTAAGGGTATATAGGGCTCTTAACTGCTTGGGTGTGCGCGCATGTCACTGCGAAGGCTATTTCTCACCACTCAAAATACATTCACACACAAACGACAGCACAAATCTCTGTCAAGTTGTTCATTTTATCTCTTCAGTATTTCTGCAATATTGTAAGCGGAGAAATCTAGTCATTGATTATTAAGAGAAGAAAATAATGCCTCTCGAAGCGGGTCAGCGTTTGACCTTCAGGATGGACTACACATTCTGAGAATCACCCATATGGATGGACATAAAATCTGGTTTTAAATGTTTCCGCCTCAAACTGCTCTGCATGCCAAAAGAGGAATGACTCACACCACAGTTCATAGTAGTAGCTGCAGCACTGTGTTTCTCCGCAGCAGTGACCAGATTCACAGATATAGCTCTGGTTGTTCAAGCCCATGCACACCAACTTCTCCTGTAGACACAAAATGCAGTTTTGGTGTTGATATTCGCCTGTCTGATCAGTGGATGCATGAATTTGCTTAGAAGTCATGTCAGTTTTCTTGACCTACCACTTTTGAAACACATTTTCCTTCATCCATACAATTTCAATTATTTATTTCTTCTGGCGTCAATTTTTTTCTTTTGAAAAAAAGGCGATAGGGTCGTTTATCAGTGGATTCAATCGATTTAATGCACAGGATTTTTCCCAGTACATGTTAACACTTTCAGGATGCTGCTCTGCAACAAATACTCCCATTTCGTTAGAACACAGCTTGAATGAGAATTCATCATTGCAAAAGTGAGATACTGTATAACATGACACCCCCGCCCCACACACACAAAAAATGTGTGAATCGACCTTGTTCATCTAAAAAAGGTTTGTGCTATAATTTAATAGAAAAATACACCAAATCACTTGGTTCACATTCTGTGTGGTAGAAACATAAATGCTGTTAAAATTACATGAATTTTGAGTTTGATTATTGTGGCAATTGAAATCGCAACACGCCATAGAGTTCAACTGGCAGGCTTTCAAATTAACTCTGATATCGATGAAAAGTAAAAGTTGGACATAAAGAATCGCCCTATAGATAAAAATGTATTGTATTGTAAAACGTTTGTAGTTGAAGACCAAACCGTGTCACAAATAATATGTAATAGGAAACCAAAGGCTTCTTGGCTATCAGTCAATCGTTTTATAATGTTAGGGCTAACGTTAGCATTAACCTTTCAACGTTACCTCTGGCACTGTGGCCTCAGTCGCAAAATTTTCTTGTCCAACGGTGTACTCAAACATCCCCATTGCTGTAAAAGACTATAATCCGATAACTATGAACGGCCAATGTGCTGTTAAACTGTCACATTGTTGGAGGGGAAAAACATCTACAAGAGTGACCAATAAACAAAACAAAACAAGTTGTGCTAAACTTGAACAGTTGAGTATGCTGCATTCGAGGAAGGTGGGAAATTCGCACTTTTCAAACTTCCGACGAGGAATAGTGCTCTGGAACGCCCCATCGAACAGAGAGATCCGAGTTGCGAAGTCTGAGTTAAAAAAAGGACCTCGAGTTCATCGATCGACTTCAAAGTAACGTCACTCGACAATGGCGACACCATGGAGATATAGACCTTCAATGGCAAATCATAATTTATAAGATTCTACTCAAATATTTAGTGTTATTTATGTTTTATCATTTTTATTTAGTAATTCTAAATAACTTCACCTTGCACATGATTTGTACTGGCTGCAAGAAGATACGCCTTATTTCCACTCGCGGCATGATTTGGTGAAATGTATGAAATGCTTTAAAGATATTCCGTTATTAATATAAATTAAGTAAATGATGAAGGCTTGATTTCAGTAAAAATGTGTTGTGATGAATCAAAACAATAAACAATCTATCGCAATAAGCCATTTCTGTTGTTTACAAACGCATCGGATGCTTTGAGATCGGAGCAGGGGCAATGCGAGTGGGATAAGTTACATTTCCCACTTTCTGCGAATGCATCATAAAAAAAAACCCGGCTGCCGAGCGCAGTTCGAGGCGTGGGTAAACTTGGGGTGGACCTAAAAGTCCACACCCAGATGGATTCTTGACTTCTTCAGTTTTTCTTCTTTTTAAATTTATTTTTATTATTATTGTTGAACTACATCCTTGCCGGTTTTAATAATGCGCCGTCTTATGAGGTCACGCTTAACTTTTGAAAACGAAAATAAACTGGTATTTCCGAACCCAAATAGCATACAAACCTCAATGGCGGCTTGCATCAGTGGTAAAGTGGTCCTGTCCCAACCCCGCCGTTGCGGGTTAGTTTTCGGCAACTGTAACCATGACGAAGTGTCCTTATGCAAGATACGATTGCTTAGTGTCTGAATGAAGAAACAACGTAAAACGCTTTATCTCAACTCAACTCAGCTGTATAGATAGAGCACTTGAAAGTTCCTATGGTGGAAAAGCTTAAAGCGCCATACAAGTGAAAGCCCAGTTACCATTTCAACCACACAGGGAGTGCGCTCTCTGCTGGAGACATGCGACACTACACTGCACTCATTTCTGTTTCGGGCGTCTTTTGAACCCAACGGCCAAGACACCCAGAAGCAACGTCAACTCCCCCATTTTCAGGGCTCCTGAGCTTGACGAGCCTCAGTGGCTCTCCAACTCTCTGTTGGACACTCGATGAATTGCTAAAAAAACAAAACAAGCGTGGCTTCATAAGACGGCACACCAAAAAGGCCAATTATGCTGCATTCGCCGAAAGCGGGAAATGGGGCTTTTCAAACTTACGACCTGAAAAAGTGCAATAGATCACCACTTTGAACTGAGAGGTCCGAATTGCGAAATCGGAAAAAAAGGACTCCGAGTTCACTCGACAATGGCGACCCCCAATGGAGACATAGACCGTGAATGGCAAAACCTAACTACATTACAAGATTATGAACATTACAAGCTTTATTTATTCTTACAATGATTTAGTTATTCGAAATAACTTTATGTAACACAACGTGATTTGTACTGAATTTGTGAATACTGTATATGACGTTATCTTTCTGCATTAGGTTATTTGGTGAAATGAATGAAATGCTTCAAAGATATTCCTTTATTTATTTCAATTCAGAAAATGATGAAAAAGGTTTGCTGGAGGCCAACACGTGTTGTGATGAACCAGAAAAATAAACAATTAATCAGAATCAGCTCTTTGTTGTTTACATTCGCCTCAAGCGCTTGAGGTCAGTCAGACCTGGCACAATCCGAGCGGGATAGACTTGACTTCCTACCTTGCTCGAATGCTGCATTAGACTCTGTGCGGCATGAGTCAAACGTTTAGGTCCACCCAAAGTTGAACCACGCTTTGAAATGCGCTCCCCAACCAGGGCTACTCGGTTGAATTAGCTACGATTAGTTGAACAGGGATCATATCTTTTGTGCAGCCACTGACGTTGTCAGATAAAATATGATACGTTGCTTTAATGCCGACATCATATTTCACGATCATTTCATTTTTCATTTTTAGTTATGCAGCTGTAACAAAGCGCCATTAACAAAACAAATAGATTATATATTCATTCATTTTCCGAACCACTTGATCCTCACTAGGGTTGCGGGGGGGCGCTGGAGCCTATCCCAACTGTCTTCGGGCAGTAGGCGGGGGACACCCTGAATCGGTAGCTAGCCAATCGCAGGGCACACAGAGACGAACAACCATCCACGCTCACATTCACACCTAGGGACAATTTAGAGTGTTCAATCAGCCGACCATGCATGTTTTTGGAATGTGGGAGGAAACCGGAGTACCCGGAGAAAACCCACGCAGGCCCGGGAGAACATGCAAACTCCACACAGGGAGGCCGGAGCTGGAATTGAACCCGGTACCTCTGCACTGTGAAGTCGACGTGCTAACTACTGGACTACCGGGCCGCCCAGATTATATATTATCATGTACAATTATAAAGGTTACTTTCACATATAATTTACGGTATATACCCCCTTTAATTTCATTTTGAAAATAACTTCCTAATCCTTTTAAGGATTTTAAACCTATATTCAATTGAACCACTGCAAAGACAAAATATTTAATGTTGAAACTCATGAACATTATTGGGGTTGTTTTTTTTTCCAAATATTCCCTTTTTTTGAATTTGATGCCTACACTCCGTTCCAAAAAAAGTTTGGAGCAAAAATGCTGGGAAAGTTGAAGAAAGCTGGAAAAAAATTCTTTAGGGCATAATCCCACAGATGAACAGACTAGTTAAATGATGATTAGGTATAAAAGGAGCAACCCGAAAGGTTTAGATGTTCACAAGCAGGGATGGGGCGAGATTCACTATTATGTGAACAACTGTCTACTCCACACAAATACTCCAACAGCTTGAGAACAATGTTTCTCAATGTACCATTTCAAGGGATTTCGCGATTTCGTCATCTACAGTCCATAATATTAAAATGTTCAATAAACGATTCTGAGAATCTCGAGAAATTTCTGCACGTCAGCGGCAAGGCCATAAAAACAACATTTGGATGCCTGTGACCTTAGATCCCTGAGACGGCACTGGATTAAAGACTGGCATCATTGTGTCAAAGCTATTGCCACGTGGGCTCAGAAAATCATGACAGTTTGCTGCTACATCTCCAAATGCAACTTAAAACCCTACCATTTACCAACAATCTACATTTCTCGTGTAGTACAGTTTCTATTATGGGATGAAATCCAATCCTGGGCTATGATTTACATTTTAAAAAGCACCAGCCCCTTTTGTGCTAAATATAAAGTACTATGTAAGTCTGTGCTAAAACACTAGTTCACTCTCCTTGACCCTCTTTGCCGTCATGTAAAATTTCCTCTTCTGTTTTGCCGCATTCCCCACGTCTCTTGAGGTTCTTGCTTCACGACTTGTCTTTTGAACTTTTTAGTCCAGTTCAAGAGAACAAAAGAAAACAAATCGCATTGTTCTTTGAGGAATTTTTGTTTGTTTGCCGCTTTTCATGGCCTCTTTTTTTTCGGCACCTTCTTATTCAGGATCCCAAGAAAGTCAATGGTTCCTTACATCCCAGTTTGACAAGTCAGAAGGATACATGCTAATCCCCTTAATCTAGCCTTTCTCTCACACACTGCCACAGGGAGAGAGGGACCGCACAGAGTAATCCTGTCGGAGCAACAATAGGATTAAGGGCCCAACCCTGTGAGCGACAATCATGCATCCACTGACTGATCTGCATAGCAGGAGCCCCGACCACTCTCTAGAATGTGACTTTATTTTTGTTTGGGGGGGTCTGACAAGGATTGAGGTGAAGTAGGGGAGGGATGGGTGAAATGTGACAAGGGGGAGGTTACTTCTTTGAGGGGCTGCTGGAGGTCTGACAGGCATTTGGGCTCCTGAGCACCAGGGACCCAGGAATGACTGACAGGTGAAGTGGACGGACTGGGTGGGTTTGTTATGGGTGAAAGCTTATCCTTTGGGGGTTGCGTGTGTATTTGTGGTAAGTGTACAATGTAAATAATACTTGTGTTGTTGAATAAAAACACAGACGCTGTAGTTGTGGCTCATCTACTGTATTTGCATCATATGATTGAGAAAGTTAGGGACATTGACCCCTGCGACCCTGAACGTTGCATGATGGATCGGAAGAAAAAAAAAACAGTGGTGAGACCAAAAAAAAAAAAAAAACATTAAAATGCTCAGTAGGCAGATTTAGCACAACTTCATCATGCTTACTTGGCCATTTGAGCATTCAGTCACAGGAAGTCCGACTCTAAAATTAAACTACAATGGCGATGACACAAGTTTGTTGTTATTATTTTTTGTAATTAAATTGCTGCTTTCTAATAAACGTAACGCACCCTCTACTTAAACAAAAAGAGGAACAGTCCATCCATTTCCTAGACTGTTTATCTTCACAAAAATCATGAGTGAGCTGGCAGGGGGGGGGGGTAAAACCCCAAACTGGTTGGCAACTAATTGGTGCACGTATAAACACACCCACAAAAAAACCATTCACACCAACATTACACCTTGGAAAGTTTAGAGACTTGAACCTAATAAACATATTTTTGGAATGTGAGAGGAAGTTGGAGTGATTATTGGATCTGACAAAGCATTGGCCCAATAGCCTTAACTGCTTTTGTGCTGTATTGTTTTGACCTTTGAACTAAAAAATATTGAGTTCCAAAATGATTTGCGTTTTCATTTTGATTTGCAATATTAATTAGTACCAGAAGTTTAAAAACTGCATAACTCTTTGAAGGAACAGAAATGAAGAGCAAGGATTAAATATTTGACTGATTGGAGCTACTACTTACAATGCACAAGTTAACAGTAATTTGACATTATATAACTATGTTGTCTTTTCCGGTTAAGGTCACGTCACACTAATGTGTCTTTACAGCTTTAAAATGTTTGTAAATAAATAAAACATCTCTTGCTGCGATTGACCTGTTACATGTCAATGCATATTTCATACTATAC